AGAAAGAACACAGGTATTCCTCTAAGGGTGAAAGGATAAAGTGTGGTACATCCATGCAATGGAATACTATTCAGCAATAAAAAAGAGTTAGCTATTGATACTTGCAAAAATTGGATGGCCCTCAAGGCTATTATACCAAATGAAAAAAATCCACTTCCAAAGGATTGCATACTAAATGATTCCCTTTATGTAACACTCTTTAAATGACAAAATTATAGTGATGGCAAACTAATCAGTGCTTATCAGGCTAAGTCAGGCTGATAGAGTTAGGGAAAGTCTGCCATAAAGCAGGGACAGGGGACACGAGGGAATTTCTTTGTAGTGATGGACAGTTATGTATCCTGCTTTGGTGATTTTATACAAACCTACACAATTGATAAAATTTCATAGTAATATACGCCAAAAAAGTATATGTAAAAACTGAAGAAACTCAAATAAGGTCCATAAGTTAATAGTTAATATTAATGGTATTGTACCAATGTCTATTTCTTGGTTTAGAAAATGTATTGGTTATTGAAGATGTTATCATTGGGAAAGCTGGGTAAAAAGTACATAGAAGCTATTTTTTGCAACTTCTTGTGATTTATAAATTATTTCAAAATAAAAGTTTCTGTAATAACTTGATTGATTTTTTTTATCTTAGCTTTTTTAAAATTATGTTATTTTCTTCTTAGAGAAGTTGTACAGCTTGCATTAGATTGATTCCTAGCTAATTCATCTATTTTACACTTTATGCTTTTCAGAACTTTATTTTCTAACTTTTTTGCTAGACAAGTCGCTCTTTATTCCCTTACATCTGACTTCCCCTTCTCTCCTTCACTGTGGACATGAATGACCTCTATGTGCTCTATCATATTGTCACCTTCCAGGCTTCCTTTGAATTGATCTCTTAGTAGAATTTGGCACTGAATTTGTGCATCATCCTTGATATCTCTGGGTGATTTTTCTTACAAACCTCTTAACTACCAAGGGTACTGCTGGCCCAAAGATAACATATCTGTGTTCCTCGGGATTCTATCTGAACAGCTGGACTAATGCTTATACATTCTGGAAGATTGACTATGGAGGCGACTTTTGGAGTTTGAGCTTGGTGAACTCCAGACCGAAGCACTAAGGAGGTCTGCAGTGTGGGGACTCTGTGGGCCTGAGGAACCAAAGAAGATCACACTGGAAATATTTTCTTTCTTCTCTACAGTAGTTCTTGAATGGATACATTTGTCCTCCAGCCTTGATTAATTCAAACTAACATATCAATTCAATTTAACAATTATTTATTGATAGTGCTCAGTCCCAACAATTGCAAGTCTGTTAATGGCATTATTATTGCTTAATAATGTGTTTATTTCATTTTAATTCAGAAGAAATTTCCTCTGGATATACATTTCTATATTGGCATATTAAAGATATCATCTCATAATATCTAGCCTCCTTCTCATTGAGAAGTCAGCCGTCAGTCTCATGTTCTTTGGAATGTATTATGTCCTTTGTCCTCTGGTTGATTTTAACATTTTATTATTTTCTTTGACCTTCTGAAATTTCACTATCATGCTGCATTTTTTGTTCCTCTTGCTTATAGCATTTTGGGTTTCTTGAATCTCTGGGCTGATGTTTTCCATCAGTACTGGAAAGTTCTCCACCATAATATTTATATAACTAAATACCATAATATATTGCAAAAAAGTAAAGCTTTATACAAAAACATGAATAATTCCTAGAATGCATACCGTATGATTCTATTTACATCAATATTTAAAACAGGTGGCCAGGTGTGGTGGCTCATGCCTGTAATTCTAGCACTTTGGGAGGCCGAAGTGGGCGGATCCCCTGAGGTAAGGAGTTTGAGACCAACCTGACCAACATGGCAAAATCCTATCTCTATGAAAAATACAAAAATTAGCCAGACATGGTGGTGTGCACCTGTAATCCCAGCTACTGGTGGTGGTGGGGGAAGGGAGCGGGGGCTGGGGCAGGAGAATTGCTTGAACCCTGGAGGTGGAGGTTGCAGTAAGCCAAGATCATGCCACTGCACTCCAGCCTGAGCAAGAGAGCAAGACTCCATCTCAAAAATAAAAAACAATAAAATAGGCAAAACTATAGGGCAGTTTTAGTTTTGCACTATAAAACTAAAACTACAAAAGAAAACAATGGTGAGAATTCATAAAAGAAAGAATAGTGTTTCCCACCAGATGAGGAAAAAGAATGTATTTAGAAAGGATCCCTTGGCATGGGGAGTTTTCTGTGGTTTGAGCAATATTCCTACTTTCTGACATGGTTTATAATTACACACTTTGCATTAAAATAGTTTAAAATATTAATTTAAATCTTACACCTTTTCTAGTATGTGAATATTTCACCAGTATAAAAATCTCACACCACCTATGTGTGTGCATGCACACACACACACACACACACACACACACAGCAAATAACAAGGGAGAAACTTCTTGGACAAACTGGCCAAGGACAGCCTCTCTGAACACACACAGATCTAGAGAAAGACACTTGACAAGTATGTAGTAAGCTCAGCAATATTGGCAGCTACGTGCCTCCTTGGGTGCCCTGGCAGTTTGAGAAGAGGTCTCTGGGAATGGCCTTCATGTACTTGTGAATTTACCATGCAAAGTAGGGAAGGAGTCCCTAATTTCTCCGTAGCTGAATTCTCAGGACGATAGCTAGGTTTGTTGGTACAAAATAATAACATCTGGGACTTTTTATTTAATCTGCAAGCTACAATAGAAACAATAAATAAATTATTGACTGCTTCACTCTTGAGTCCCAGACCTACCTTCCTGTCACTTCAATGTCCAGGGTATGTTCTCCAACCCTCGGTACAATAGAGAGAAATTACCTGGGGAATTGTCAACATACTGAGAGATTCTGAGATTCGCAGAAACTCTTAAGAGATGGAAAGTTTCATGGTAGCAAAGAACGTACACAGAAAGGCTCCCCAGAGTCATAAAGGCAGAAGCTCTTTCTTGGATCTGCCCATATTGTCTGAATATTTCCTCCATTTTTCATGTCCCTCAAGAGGATAGATTGACTCTGATTTCATCTAGTTTGAGTCACCTAGAGCTATGCTCTTCACTTGCCTGAGGGAAAAGGGGCAGACTATTCTGATCTGACCGTTCCTTTCAACCCTGACAGAGAACTGTCCCCTCTCCACACACTACTAGTGTAAGTCCTACGGTTTGGGGGAAACTCCAGGAGTCTGACCGCTGGTGCTACAGTGAAACAGTAACTGTGGTTCATCTGGTTTACCCTCCTCCTCATAGGTAGGGTCCACCTAAACTGAGATCTCTTTCCTCAAATCCTCGTACTCACCACTAACTCAGTTAACATATTCAAAATGATTATTACGTAAAAACATCTTAGTTACTAATGAACCTCAGGATATGTTGCTGTAGCCCCTGAGAAGCGTAACTTTATTTCTTTTAAAATTAATAACTGATTGGAAGGTGAGTTTCCATTCAAAAATCACCATTTTTATTGATTTGCATGATAATATTGGAGATGCAAACTGAAAGTTCTTGGCCATAATCTAAACATCTTCTAATCACACACACAGAGACATAACTAAGCACCTCATTAGTCTCAGAGTTGAGGTCTAAGCCAGGGCTTACTCTTCTGGACTAATTGCATCTCCAGAACTCTGTGTTGGAGAGGAGGGGATCGTGAATAAAGGGCTTTACAACTTCCAAAGGTTCAAGGTAATAGGGTGAAAGGGGTTCCTGAATACTTTTTGGCCATGGGTCTGGAATTTGTGACATAAGCAGAATTTGATGGTGGGGAGGGTACCTTAACGCAAAAAGGTAAAAGGATTAGAGGCACAAAGAAAAGGAGCAGAGTGAGACTCAGTAGGAAAATCAGGTATTAGGGCCACAAGGCTAGGGAGTATACATACATTTGAGGAGATTTCAGGAGTGAGTCGATAAAGGAGTTCAAATATAAGCAAGGAATACAGGCGGATCAGTAAAAATCGTTGGCTGGGAGGAAGAAATTTCTGCTGTAGGGGAAGTGGTATAATAATATTATGGAAGTGTAATTATGTAAGGAGACAGTTTCTGACAGGTCAGAGGAAGAGAACCTTTCCTCCAATCTCATGGGTCCCATTAGGCAAATAACTGTGGGATTCCTAGAAGGAAAGAAGGGGACATCTCAAAAGGCAAGAGAAAGGAGTGTAAGATGCAAGTGAAGATGTTAAATTTCAGGGAAATGAGAGGAAGGAAAGGAAGACTTCTGCCAGTGAATATGCAGAACAAAAAAAAAAATCAGTGCTATCGTGTGTGTATGTGTGTGTGTACACATGTGCATATGTCTGCACAAGTGCGTATGCAGTACATTAATACTTCATGGTGTTACTTTAAAACTTCATCAGGGTGGTCAATGCCAGGTCAGCAGTTAGTATGTAGCTCTCTTCCTCTGTGCATGAAAATGCCAGTTTGATCTTTTGGCATGTAGTAATGACCTCCAAAATATCGTGAATCCAAAAATCTTTTTCATACTCTCCTTATGGGAACCCTCTGTATGCCTCTGAGCCTAACCTTTCTGTGTCCTCTGTTCTCCACTCCTAGAGGTATGTATTTTCAGTCCGTGTTCAGCCTTCTTTTTGCCTTTCTGCATTCCAATGATTTGTACTTATATATTCTCTCGGCTTTAATACATGTCTCCATGTAGGTGACTCTCAATTCTACCCATCCAGCCCAGCTTTAGCCTTATGTTCTTTTACAATATGGTACAGTGAAAAGACCATAGAAACTGCCATCAAAAATCCTGAGTGATAGAACTGGAATAAATCAGGTTCAGGATTAACCTAGCCATTCCCTCTGGCTCCAAGTTGCCAAGAAGAGAAATTACAGAGTCATTGATTTCCCTAGGAGCAAAGTATGCCTTCCAAGAACTTCCGCAGCATCTCCACCCCTAACCCTTCCCAGGGAAGCCCAACCCTGCAGGTGTATAAATAGGCGCTCTTGAAGCTTCCTGTTGTAGCCTGGCCCTCCTTCTTTCCAAAATGGACAAATCCATCCTGCTGGAACTCCCCATCCTGCTCTGCTGCTTTAGGGGTGAGTTTCTAGGGTTGACAGCTGAGAGTCCTGAATTTAGGAACGGGCGAGAGCACCCCAACAGAGGCCTTCTTATGGGAGTCCTGTGGTAACAGAGGCACGATGAGCTTATGCTCTAATGCTGAACCTTCTACCTGGGTATGTCATGTCCTCACGACCTTAACTAAAGCTCTTCTCCCTTCCTTTATATGGGGGAAATAGGCAGATTAGAGAGGAATTTAGTGGATTTTCATAGAAGCTTTGAGATGGGTTTGGAAAATGAGGTCTGTAGACAGTGTATTTTTTTTTTTTTTTCAACAGCATTGTCTGGATCACTTTTACAGAGAAATGTTGCAGGTGAGTAGATATAGATAAGTGATGTGAGAAAGGGAAGGTCTGAGGAAGGGAAGACGAGTGGGGTGAGGTGGGCACCAGCGGCTAAAATAAAACAAAATGGAAATAGACCTTGAGTTCCAACACTCAATAACCTCTTCCAGCAGGACAGAGCTGGGATGGGAGCTGATTTTAGGTTTGACAAAATAACGTAAGCTTCGACCAACAAGGCCAGGAGTGTCAGTGAAGGGCAAGGAACAGGGAAAGGAGGAAGCAGAATGCTGGCTTTTCAGGTGTTACTTGGCCAAGTCTAAAGCATGGCAACTTTAGGAATTTCAGGTAATTGTCCCCGTTGTCAGATTCCAGGCACCCACAGGTAAGAGTGCCACCTAGGGTCAATTAAAAAGAAGGGGATGAAGCAAAAACCCATATGCATTTATCTTTCTCCTTCTGGTCTGTGCTTCATCCTGTAGGAATGGGTAGATAAATCGGAGAATCCCCAAAAAGGCGAAGAGATTTACAAGGAGAGAAGAGGTACAGAGGTGCCCAGTAGGTGACTAGGCATTAGAGGGACAGAAAGGGTCTGGAATGGCTCCAGTTTAAGAGTGCAGGATGGACCCTGAAGGGCAGATTATAAGGACCCTGTACAAGAGTAAATCTCAGACAAATTTCAGATGTGTTTTATTTCTCTTTGCCAGTACAGTCGATGAAGAAGTTGTCATCGAAGATAATTATTCTAGTGAGTATGAAGAGGACCTGTCTGATCATCTCAGTCTTGATAATGTTTCACCTTTTCTTATTTCTCCACCTTTCTTTCTCCTCCCATTTTTCAAGCTAAAACTCCTGAGACCATAAACCCCAGCCACGCTCTTGGCTAGTGTGTTTTCATAGAGGCAGATGTTCACGCTTGATGGGCTCTGGCAAAGCCCTCTGGCTCTAGGCAGACTTCTAATCCAAAAGGAGAGATGGGTTCTTTCATGGTAGTGCCATCTTTTCTCACTTCTCTTTCCCCACTCTCTACCAAGCACAGTTATTGTTCAGTGTAGGATGTGCCACCTCCAGTTCTCAGGAGAAAAGTGCTCCAGAGGAAGAGGAATATGCACAGCAACAACAGAAGAGTCCTGCGTGTTTGGGAGGATTTCCAAAAGTAAGTAGTGGGTGGAGGAAGTAGACAGGGACATATCTGCCATGGCAGAAATGGGGGGTCTTACTTTACTTTCGCTGCAGGCAGTCTCACGCCTGGGCGCCTGTTTTTTCACCCCAGTCATACAACATAATGGAAATTAGATGGAGGTGGTCACTAAGGAGGGTGGGGCCCTACAGCTAAAGAATTAGTATTTTTAAAAGCCTGAAGAAAACAGAGGAGAATAAATCGAGGTGAGAGAACAGGCATAATCTATGCCCAATGGGTAACAGTGAGTTGTTGAGGTGGGGAGGGGGCTTTTGGCCTTTGTGCCTACCTGGGCTTCCCTCATCTGCGGAAACAGAAGGGTCGGAGTCATCAGTAGACTCTGGCTGAATTGCCCTGGGTGGTTAAGACAAGACATCATGATTTCTCTTTTTCCACCCTTTCTGCTAAATTATCTCTTGGCATTTATAACCCTCGCTTAAACCAGTGTTCGGATTCTCCGTAGAAACACCCAGCTTTGGCAATCCCTGAATTACTGCTCTCCTTAACCTGCCCTACCCCCAATAATCATTTTAGGCGGCCCCATCACTGCATTTCTTTTGGGAAGCTCCAACTTGCAACATCTTCCAGTTCTTTACATTTGAATAACGGAGCTTTGTATTACACAAGGTTGTTCTTATATGTTGGTGTGGTCTAAAGAAAAGGTTTTTTGCAGAAGTGTCATGGCCAGGCTTTCTGATCTGTTTTTTCTTCCTTCCACAGGGGATGGTACTCCCTTTTTAATCTTCATGGGCTGCCAAAAGAACTGTGCTGATGTAAAAGGCATAAGGTGGAGTGTCTACTTTGTGAACTTCAAGTGCTGCAGGGACTACGACCTTTGCAATGAAGACCTTTAGAAGTTGGTGGTTCTTCTGTGACTCTAATTTCTGGGTGAGGTTGTTGCCTCAGCCTCTTCACAATGACTTTCTAAACACACACACACACACACACACACACACACACACACACACACGCTACGGAAGAGGATTGCAAACACATGTCTCCACTTTTTGCACATGAATAAAAAAATCCCTCTCCTTTTCTACTCTGTGTTGCCCCTTAAAATAAGTAAATAAATAACCTTGAGAGCAAGAACAAAATCAATATATTCTGCAGGTTGCTACAAATCCTAGCACTTTCACTTTATAACCAATTTGTTCAGAAAAGGAGGAAAAGGATAGTTTAATTTTGAAAAAGAATCCCTTCCTCTCTCCCCTGCTCCTGTCCTTCCTTCTGGGGCAGGATATTTTAATATTTTTCACATTTTTTTCCTCTCTGTGTTATCATTCTTATCGCATTCCAAAGAAAGCACATAAATGTGGCCTGAAGGGAGGGGGAGTGGCAACATAAAAAGAAGTGGCTCGAGTCTTCTTGGAGTTTGTTCATGAATGCTGGTCCCAGGGTGAGGAGAAGATTGGGACACACAAAGGAAGCTACACCAGAGCCATGAACAGAGAAAGACTGTCTGCCTTTTAGAATCAGACTTTGTTTGGGGCTGCGGTTTGGAGAATAACAGCAGGTGACTAGAGACAGTGCCTGCATCCTGCTTCCCTGGCAAACTCACAAGGAGGCATCAACCTCTTGACAGGGAACAGCTTCAGGATACTTCAGGATACTTCCAGAGGACAGAACCACTAGCAACAACACAAATATTCCCATGCCTGGAGCATGGCATGAAGGGAGCTGAGAACTGTGGGGTCTGAGGAAGCCACATTAGTCTGGCCACTAGCCATCTCATCAGCCACTTGTGTGGACAGATGTCCCATGACCCCAGATGCCTCTCCCACCCCTACCTCTGTCTCACACACACTGGAGCTTCCACTCTGTAAAACTCTAACACCCTGGAGAAATATGGCAGTTTGACTGAATATGTTCCCAAGGGTAGAGGCTGATTTCTAACAAAACTTGTAGAATGAAGCCTGGAAAGAGTGATGAATTATATTACATTCTGTAAATATAATAATAAAGAATGCTACCATTTTTTTTTTTTTTTTGGTGGAGTCTCCCTTTGTCACCAGGCTGGAGTACAGTGGCACTAGCTCAGTTCACTGCAACCTCTGTCTCCCAGATTCAAGCAATTCTCCTGCCTCAGCCTCCCCAGTACATAGGACTACAGGTGCCCACCACCATACCCAGCTAATTTTTCTTGTATTTTACTAGAGAGTGGGTTTCACCATGTTGGCCATGCCGGTCTCAATCTCCTGACATCGTGATCTGCCAGCCTCGGCCTCCCAAAGTGCTGGGATTACAGGTGTGAGCCACTGTGCCTGCCACTACCTTTCTTCTATACCCAAATTGTGCTTTCTTCTTTCTCTCTCCTCCAAACCCTTCCTAATTCCTTTAACAAACATGTATTCAAAGCATAGTATGTTTCAGGTACCGCTACACCCTGGTGTGTATACAGCAGCATAATCCCTATTCTCATGGAGCTCAGGCTAACGGGAGACACAGATCTTAAGTAAATAATAGTAACAGCTTCCACTTATATGACAGTTACTGTGTGAGAGGCACTGTTATAAACCCTTTTTATCTTCTGACTCATTTACTCTTCACACAAACCTGAGAGTCATACTACTCCCCATGTAGGTCAGTCGAAAACAAAAACATCACCGGTCATTTTTACAGAGACTTTAAGAATCGTTAACCAGGTATTGGAGGACACAAAAAGCCAAAGGAAGATATTGAGTTAACAAAGATAGAAATTGCAAGAAGCTGCTAAAACCTGTAGGTCTAGGGAAACACAGGGAAAATGTTGGAGGTCCATACTTCTAAGGTCTAATTAATTAATTTAATTACTTAGTTAAATAATTAATTAATTTAAAAGTGTGAGGGAAGGATCCCTTTGAACTGGGACCCAAACATCTCAGGAACAAAGGGCCTCCCTGAAGATAAAATGCAGACCTCTAGGGAAGAGGTACTGTTCAGGTGGTGCTGGCATCTCTGGGGCACCAGGAAGCTGGTTCTGAAAATATAGGGGGAAAACCATGGAACAAAACCAACTGTAGCTCTGAAGGCAACTGCCACTGCCCAGGTGAAAAGCTGTCAAGAAGAAGAGAAAGCAAACGGGAAAAGTGCTCCCCTTGTCCAGCCTGCCCGTCTCCCTCCAGCACTCCCTACTGGCAGAATTTAACAAGGATCCAGCTTGCAAAGACCACCGTCATAAAGCAGAGTATAGAAACGTGAAGTTAAAACTGAGAGGCAATCATTTAATAACCCGCTTAATCACACCTTTGGCCATTCAACTCTTTACACACGTTTTTATGTGATTTTGAACTCCACTGAACAAGAAAGACAACTTTACGCTTTTGCCTAATGAGATGCGTTTATCCACCATACAAGTAAAGGCACTTTTACTTTTTCTCTAAATAAGGACACAGAGTCCTAAAGTCATCTCTATTTCAGAATAATATCCTAGATATTCATTTTCATGCAACATTAAATATTCTTGAAATCCAATCAATTCCACCTGTCAGCTACTGTCAATAATTTTTATGTAGAATAATAAAGAGATAGAGGAAAATGAGAAGAAAATATGACAAAAAAGGAAAAAGATATGCCTAGGTATCCAGTGTTTGTGTTTTTTTAACTGCTAATGAGGCTGCAGGCAATATTCATAACTTCCTTCTTCTGCTACCAATTCTACATTTTGTTTTCCTCAACTAGACCCTCCTGGGGTCAGCGTTATCTAACTGATGGGATGACGAAAGTCTTCCTTCTTGAAAGGTTCAAATTTTCAATGGCCTGGATTTTTTTCAGTTTCAGAGCTTTATATTTATGGTTACTAGACAGGAAGAATAAAGTAGCATTTCGGAGAATCTCCTGTATTCCCACCTCATTGTGCAACAGCTGTGCAATTCCCTCTTAACAATCAGGATCAGTTTTCTCAGCCTGTAGAGTAACCTCTGTGCTTCTATGGTGGCATGGAGGCATCAGGAACCCAAAATGGTCTTAGCATTCAAGTCAACTAAAGTATTGTTTTTTTCCCTAGTGGAAGCATTTCTCCCTTGGTAACTAAGACTTCCGAATGAGCAAAAATCAAAGTTGCAGGAATGGGATAATTTATTCCCACTTCTACATCTTGATTCTTGGACTTGTGTACTCTGACTATGGGAAAAGCAGAAGTATATATTAGTTCTGATTATGAGCATATACTGCATTCTACTCTCTAATCTAATCTTTTCAGAGTGTTTTCCCCCAACTTGTAGTTAAACTGAGATTTCATTGGACGAGTTATTCCGTTATTCCATCAGGTTGGTTGCTTCTGATGATGGGGTGCATGGTAAGATAAATGATTTCCATGGGCATGAACACATTGCTATCCTTCTTTGTGGTGAAGCAAGTTCCTTGGGTGGAAATAATTCTATGTTGAGAACACCTTGATGGAGAATAAAGCATTACCTAAGTCTGCAATTAATGGTGCTGGCAGAAGAATTATTAACAGGAACATCTATATCCAAAATATCTGTTTACTCCAATGAGGATAAATTCTATCCATGATGGAAGCTGCCTAATGCCAGCCAGGCTGTTATCAACTAGCTGTAAATTAATGTAGATCTGTCCAGACTAAATGGATGAGACACTCCTGATTGGAGTTTAATGCTTGGGCAATCCATCTCCCACTTGTTGCCAGAATACCCATTTGTAAACACCAGTTTCTCCTGTCTCAAAGCAGTTCGTTATTAAACAGAAATCTAAGAGGCCATAGATGTGTAATGGAAGAGAGGAGGCAATGGAGCAGAACCACCTGCTCATGTGACTAACTTGTGCTGTCCTGGCTGGCTTCAGCCTGTTCTCTTGTTGGCCTCTTCTCCTTAGTGGCAGATTGCTATCTTACACGCCCAATCTGTGGCTTCATGACCCAGAAAACCCAGTTCTTGATGAGCAGCTCAGGTCTTATGATTACTTGATGACCCATTGTCAGAGAAACTGATTATAGAAGATTAAATTATTTGCCAAATGACAGAGACAAGAGTCAAACTTAGGCTGCCTGTCTCAAGTCTTTACTCTTAACGATTAGGCACAAATAACTAAGAACTATGATACATGTAGGAAAAAATACAGGGTAATAAAAATAAACAGAAGACAATGCTAACTGGGGTTTTAGGAAAGCTCTTTCTGAAGTTACATTTAAGCTTAGAACCATGGGCTAACCTATTAGGTCAGGGCAAGAGGGAAATGGTGAAGAGCAACCATGCACTGAAAGGAACTTCCTTCCAGGTGAAGGGAACAGGAGGTGCAAACCACCTAAGTAAAGAAGTTCCCTTCATGACCCCTTCCTTCAAGTGTTGTTTCTTCTTTTTTTCCCTGAATTCAGTGGTACTCTTTAGCCCTTTAGAAATCATCATGGCCCATGGGTTTGTTGTTTTCTTTTTGTTTTTGTTTTAAGGTACCTCTGCCTTAGGTTTAAGATTTGACTTTCTATTTTGGAGGATAGTAAACTCTTTCTTCATACACAGACTTATGAGATAATAAGAACAGAAGGCAGACTGGGCACGGTGGCTTACCCTGTAATCCCAGCACTTGGAGAGGCCAAGGCAGGGGGATCACCTGAGGTCAGGAGTTTAAGACCAGCCTAGCCAACATGGTAAAACCCTGTCTCTACTAAAAAAACAAAAATCAGCTGGGCATGGTGGCACGTGCCTATAGTCCCAGCTACTTGGGAGGCTGAGGCAGGAGAATTGCTTGAACCCAAGAGGCAGAGTTTGCAATGAGCCGAGATTCCACCACTGCACTCCAGCCCAGGCAACAGAGCACAACTCTGTCTCAAAAAAAATAAAATAAAATAAAAAACCCAAAAGGCAGATTATTTGGCCCCCATGAGATGAAGATGCAGCATGATCTCTGTCTCTCTCTCCTAAAGTCAGCCCTAGGGAAGCTCTGAAACTGGGTTTCTATGAATCAATAAAACCATGAAAAGTTCTTGCAGGAGATGTACTGTTGTCTGAAGCAGTGTGTTTGTGGCAGGGTTAGTTGGGTGGGAGGTGGCATTGTTGGCCATAACCTCAGTGTATTAGAAAGCTGTTTAAATTCTATGTTCACTTATCTTCTACATCTCTGCAAGACTATATCACCTGTTACTTCAACACAGAAATTGACATGGCCCAGACTATATTTTTGGTGCAAGCATGCAGGGAATATTATCAAGTCAGAAGTTACTAGGCTGCTCATTTCAAAGCCCCAGGAGTTGTACATTACAGTTTAGGAAAACTGCCTCATTCCAATGCTACTTCTCTTTAAGGGTTTAATGGTAAACCTCTACCAAAACAGTTGTTTGGTAATATGTATGCAAACAGGAAATACTGTTTCATAGTCCCTGGAAACTACTTCCTTAGGGTAATTCCTTCCCCAAGGAATTAACTAAAGTTCCCCTTTGAACTCATCAAGACTATTGGACAAGGATATGGTGTCCTAAAATCCATTATCAGGTGGAGATTTTGATAACCCTGGAGAAGTAGAAATCCACAGACAAAAAATAATTATAAAATGAAGGTACAATTATGCTCAAAAAGCACTAAATTGGTGTACTAAACCATATGTACTATCTGAAGCCAAATTATTAGAAGTAGGAATTCAAAACAAGAATGAAAATATATTTAAAGGTAATTAAAAATACAAGTTGAAACAAAAATCATCAAAAAGAGATAGGCGGGAATATTTGGTATAAATTATAATCAATAAAATGAACACAATAGATGGAATATTAAAACAGATCTTAAAATATGAACAAAGATAGGCAGTTGGAAGATCAGAATGAGGATATCTTCCAGAATACAGTAAAAAAAAAAAAAAAAAAGAGGGCTTAGATGGGAGATTTTTTGTTATTCATTCAATTTCCTCACTTATTGATCTATTCATATTTTCTATTTCTTCATGATTCAGTCCTAGGAGGTAGTATATTTTTTAAAGAAATTTATCAATTTTCTCTGGATTATCCAATCTGCTAGAGTATAATTGTTTATAGTAGACT